CCTCATAACGTAATTTTATTATCGACGCATTTGAGTGGAGATTTATATCAGAAATTATTTTTTGTTAAATAGCCAATAAAAATAAATGGGTATTGGATAGTTGAATGACTTTATTTTTCTAACGGATTCCCAGTAGTGGTGTGGTGCGCGCTACTTATAAGTAGTATATGACGCGAGTAAAAACGTAATGTCTGGCAGCAGAAGATGGGGGAAGATCAAGAAAGGAAGAGCGGGAACACAATGGGATTTGTATGAAACGCATGAACAGTGAAATGTCAGACAATGGATTGATGTTTGCAACAGGAACAGTCCAGTTCGATATGATGGATTGATATTTTGCAAATTAACGATTTACGATATGGTTTTCCTATTTTACCAATTAACTCTGTAATTTGCCCTCTCCTTCACTACATTGGGTTTCAGTTATCTTACGTGGTTTCAAATCCAGAAACAACGTAAGGGTCTCAAGGTGAGCGGCTAATTTGCAGACCATTGACTTGTAAACTATAGTTAATTCTTGGTAATGTGCAACTAACTTTCAATGCTCTTAGGTAGGTAGGTAACAAACACACAACTATTCTACTCTTTCCCGATTTTCACTGGTTACTTACAGTAAAACGTTACAATTTAATTTGTTACAATTATTTAGGATGACATTTTCACGCAATATATATTTTTCCTATCACATTACGTATCGATGTGAAACTAGCCTGTCATTTGTCAGACAAAATGACAATGGTAGGTTGTTGTTTCAAGTGTGGAATTCGGGATAAATATATTAGAGAGTTAACAGTTGAAACAAACCATAAACTATAATAGAATAAACTTGTTAATAAAAGGTCCTAATTGGTTTTTGTTTAATTTTCGAATTATTGATTGTTGCATTATTTTCAAAATGTTTTCAGTCGTATTTTTATCCTACAAGCTGTTTGTTAAATAATGTTTAATACAGTCAGAATAACCGTGCTTAGATTGTGAGAATAAGATTTTGAATTTTGAAATACTGTTATTCTCACAGACGTATGTATATTAACGGTATAAACAGTAGTCATTGGTAATAGGCTACTGACCAGTTTAGCTATTGACTTCATACCTCGTAAAGGCATAAAATACACATCTTATGTGATAAGCAGTCAGACAGACAGACAGATACAACGCAGAACCTCGTACGTAAGTACATCGGTTCAGGTTGCCATGCCCCATCAGCACAGAGACGCAACTGTCAGTTCAAATTTAACAGTGATAGCAATAATAGAAGTATTGTAGTGCCTCCACATATATTCCAGTTCTCTTACATCTAACTTGGTCGCATTGTAATCCAAAGAGTTGGCTCTTAGCAATGGAGAAGATTAGAGAGCGAAGATATGATTCTAGAAGTATAATTCAGTGAGATAAATTTAGAAGGAGAAATATGGAGATGATGAGGAATGCAGAAGGTTATAATTTCATAGAACACAAAGAGTTGATGCATCTGCGCCATTGCAAACGATTCTGAGCCATGTCATTCAAGGTCGGTGACTTTCGTCTCGCGGACCCCAACCAGGTAGCCTACATCTACCAACATGACTCAGTCCATTGAGTGATAAGCATTTGTTCACAGTTGATATTTTCTTCTTATATGTATTTTTTAACTCTGGAACATTTGTCTTTTGAAGTATTAGCATACAGAATTCCAACATTCGCCGAAATCCGATTTAAACGAAATAATCTAGTTTACTGACCAAAGGACGAGTATACTGCGCAGTAGTTCACTCCGTCTTACTTTATGGCTGTGAAACATGGCCAGTCAGAGCAGAAGATATTCGTAGGTTACTGGTTTTCGATCATAGGTGTCTTAGAAGCATTGCTCGTATATCCTGGGACAACCGAGTGAGCAACGCTGTTATTAGGAAACGGGTGCTAGGTAAGGATGGTAGATCAATAGATGAAGTATTGAAACTTCATCAGTTGAGGTGGTTTGAACATGTGTTACGAATGCTGCGTATGCCTAACCACCGTTTGTCCTGTCAAGCTATATTTTGCGGTGTACAAATAGGTTGGACGAAAGTTAGGGGCGCCCAGACCAAAACATGGCAGAAATGCATTAAGTCACTGACAAGTGGACTGAGTTATGTTGGTAGCTGTCGACTACCTGGTTGTGGTATGCGAGATGATAGTAATCGACGGTAAAAGACCCTGAATGACATGGCTCAAAACCGTTTGCAATCGCGCAGGTGCGTTCATTCTTTGTGTACTCTTAAATCCAAAACTTTTTAATTCCTCATCACTTTGTAGTTATCTTTTTCAGTCAATTTCACTAGTTTCTACTTCTTGAATAATATCATCTAATCCTAACCTCCGCGACTACTGCTAATACCTCTATTACTATTGGATTTGAATTGACAGTTACATCTGTGTGCTAATGTGGTATGGCAACATGATCTGATTTACGTATGTACGAAGTTCTACGTTGCTATTGATTGATTGATTGATTGAATTTCTCAAGAGTCAATAATCACAATCAAATAGAGTTTACGTAACTCTACACTTAGTCGATAAAAGAACAAGTTGGATAGTTGGGAGACAAGTGTGCGGTTAGGGATAACAATAGTTAAAAACAATAACAAAAGCTTTTGTCAATTCGTTACTATTAGAAGCAGTAGTAGAAGGTCAAACTTGGATAAGCTAATTTAAGGTAATAATCGTGAAACACGCAGCCAGGAGCCCTTCTTGGGTTACTGCCGGTTAAAAGTACAGAATAAGGAAAAGGGTTGGACATAGGGTTAACAACTCCATCTCGTAGAAAACCAACTTGCTAAATAAACACTAACCAGAACAAACAATTCAAACGATTATATTAACTATTAGAATTATGTAATAGTCAGTCAGATGCAACGTAGAACTTCGTACGTAAGTACATCAGTTCATGTTGTCATACCACTTCAGCACACAGATATAATTCTCAATTCAAATCCAATAGTAGAAGAGTTAGTAAAGGTATTAGAAGTTATCGGAGAGGTTAGAATTAGAAGATATTATTCAAGAAATATGATTCAGTAAGAAAACTAGAGGTGTTGAAAAATCCAGAAGATTAAGATTTGAGAGAACACAAAGAATAAATGCACCGGCGCCTTCGCAAACGCTTTTGAGCCATGTCATTAGAATTACGTAATAAGAAGTGTGTAAATAAGTAGATAGTGAACAATATAAACGGGAAAAGATAAAATAATGACAAACAATTACAGCATGTGAAAATAATACTACTAATGATGAAATAGAATCGTGTCGTGGCCAAAGGAACGGACATAAATGGGGGTTGAATGTTCAGATTCCTTTGGCTTCTGCTATATGTAGCGGACGGAATCAAACACTGTTGACAAATGATGGAGGTATACGATAGATCACTCAAAATAATTCATTTTTATCTATATTCTGACTGTTTTCAGTTAGGTGTGTCGAGATAGAGCTACGTATTGTTCTTATCTGGCTCTTAAGTTGTATGTTGAACGTGAATTTTGTCTGCGACATTACTAATTATAGACATATAGACGGAAAAGCTATGAACTCACCATTGTGTCTAATTTTAGCTGATATTATAAACTGTCTTGATGTAGTTTAACGATTTCATATAAATAATTATGTGCATTAATTAGAGTATAATGCCTGATGACAATCTAATTGAAAGCAACAATATTGTTTGTTTAAATCTGTTATTTTAATATTATCGTTCATGTCAGTGAGATTCAGTTTAGAGTGATGATTGAAACGCAAGGTTATGATTAAGTTTTGTTCTTTATTGAATAACTAGTAATTTTAGCTTGATAAATGACTTAATTTTGGATTTCATGATTGAGAGCATGGGCTGATTAGTTGACCGTGAGATTTCATTTCCCACTAGGAAAATCTTTGACTGTGATTGGTTGCTGTGTTATTTTAATGTGCTACTTTTGTGACTGTCCCAAGGACATTCCTATGATGTATAAATAAGTGAGAGTTGTGTGCTTGATTGTATCGTGCTTGCTGGGTGTTTGCAGAATATACTTTCTACGCTATATCAAGACTTTTTGTTAGTCAACGGATCAAGGTAGCCTACCTTGACTCTGGTTCATTGTTTCGTTCGCGTTTATCGTCTAAGGTGAACCCATACTTAGTAACGAACCCAACAAATTCACTACTAGGCTAATCCTTATTACAAGTTTTAGTAAATGAAGTCAATTTTAGTTGCAATCACATGACAACTAAGCAAACAGTAAGAGTCGGAGACCGGTAGATTCCACCTTTCTTATTTTTTTCAAGCTTTCTCAATAAATTTCAAATAATAACCCTTTTCATTTGTTGAATTATAATCAACTTTCATAAGGTATATTTTAATTTTTGTTAACAAAGAATTATTATCATCAAACATTCTTGTCTCATTTTCTACCATTGGGCTATTTCATTCATACCCAATGTACATCATATTCTAATGATCAACATTATATGTGTGCCTGTATTTGACAATGAAGTGAAAAAATTAAACTAGTTTACTTCATACTCTTTTTGGATAATTTTTACTAATTTTAGAAATGAAAGTGTCATTTGACTATTACTCCACGTCAGTAGTCAAGACAGAAAAAAAATGATATAGATAGATTTATGTAATTATAGCAGTGTACTAACAATTTTTCTTTTCAGACTATTCATAAATAGGTCAAAAATTTCAATGTTTTCTTTCATTCTCTTCACATTATCATTTATTTTTATTTTAAAAAAAAAATAAATAAATAGTTTTAAATTTTTTTTTCTAATAATTTAATACAAAGAGAGATCTAATATTCACTATTTAACAACGACATTACATTGTCCAATTTAATTTTGTTTAAAACAGCAGTAAGCGAAAAAAAATCGTTTTTTTTCTATGCTTTAAACTACATCCTGATTGGTTGATGAAAGTTTAGATTTAGTTTTGATTGGTTAAAAATAAACGACTATGTGCTTGAATAAACACTGATTGACTATTGGGATTAAATTTATTTAAGATTCCTTCACATATATATCATAATAATAATAATAATAGTAATTATTATTATAATCATACTTGTACGAGATTGAAATTAATTACTAAACCTAATCATTACCAAATTCAACTGTGTATTGGATTCCAAGTCATTGGATTTATCAAGTATTTTAAACCAAAAATCTAAAATACACATTGAAAAAGTTCGTGTGTTTAGTTTTTGCCTAAAATACAGTAAGTATTTCAGTAAGATTACATTTATATGTTTATTATTTCTGTAAAACGTTTTGAAGTTTTTTAAGTATTTTGAGTCAGTATCTAGTTAATTCATTTTCAGTGGAAGATAAACATAGAGAAAGTGAAAAGGGACGTTTAAAATTGTTTAAGTTTCACAAAAATGAAATCGGTCTGGATTTTAAAAAATAACCTCTCTATTTGTTACATTCAGTGATTTTGAGTTTTCGTTTCTATACAGATTGAGTAAATGAAATGCGTTTAATTAGTAGGGCTCAAAAATAATGTGAATGCTTAAGGAGTTATCGTTAATGACACTAGATATTGGAGTACAATTGTAACTGTAAATCATATTGGATAAAACTTGAATGATTGAATGTCTTATTTCGTCTTCTGTGAGATCTAAAAATCTTGTGTACGATCCGTAGATCGTAATTGGATCTCCGGAAGCTCATGCAACAAAGTGATAGGGCAGTATGACAAGCTTTTAAACTGTGTACAGTTCGGTACAGTTCCTGATGGTTGAACTGGTTATCTCTAGTAGATTTCAATAGTGTCATTCGTAATTTTCATTTTGTTATATTTATCTACCCAAAATGTATTTATTTAGTGATAAACCTTTTGACATTAGACATATTTAACACGGTTTCGTCGACAGTTTACACGTAAACAATAAACACTAAGAAATCTATGACTTTCCAGTGCTTCCAGGTTTCTAATGGTTGTGGTCTAACATTATTCGATTCATGGTTTCAAAAATGTGTAACTTAACAATCTTCACAAATCCGTAATGCAAATTACCTGTGCTCACTAGTGACTAGCTTCGTGAGGACTCTTCTCCGAGTTCTAGTGGGGAGATGTGACCAGTGAAGTTCAACCTGTTCGGGTGTAGACAATAACTACCGAAGACTGTGTATGGGGTTGCGCAACTCCTGAGTTCGAACCCTGCGAGGTGCAGCAGTCGTGGATGCGCGCTGCTGAGGAGTCCCATACAAGGACGAAACGGCCGTCATCAATCAGTCAGCCATTGTTATACCACCATTAGAAACCTGGAAGCATTGAAAGACAGCCGATTCGGCCTGCCGTATGGGGCTCATCAGCAGTGCACATCCACGATTCCTGCTCCTCGCAGAAATCGAACCCCAGGACCTTTGGTATTGTACGCGAACGCCTCACTTCAATCAGTCCATTAAACGAATTATGCAGAAATCGCAGAAAGATTTATTCATTATTTCAGCTTTTTATTTCATTCATCTAAGGTCAAGTGTAATTTAGTCCATTTTGTTTATTACTTCTTGAATTTTGAAACACACACCCCTCAATCTGTTATACACACAATTGATATCAGTCAAAATGTTTCACATATTGCATTGAATACAATAAAATAAAATATTCAATGTAAATTCAATTGGAATCTATAAATATTTATAAATTATTTATTTTTATGTATGTGTGAAGCAATCTGTTCAATGTTTATTTAACCTGCTTAATCAATAAGTTATACAAATGAAAATATTGTGCGATGCATTGATTTATTGGGGGATTGTATTGAATTTAAAACACTAGTGGAAATTTTGATTGAACTTTGAACAAGTTGAAATTCTGAAATATTAAGTCTCAATGCGTAAACTTGACACTTGCTTGACACAAGATTGAAGAATAGAAAATAATTTATAATATTGTAAATCAATAAACCATTCGGCCTACCGGCACTCTCCAAATTATTTTGTCCGGAGCCTTCTTTAACAGTTCTATACAGTTACTGTTCATTCTTTTCATGTCTACCTTCAATTCTCGGTGCAGTGTGTTTGTTTGTTTGGTTCAGAGTGAGGTCTTATATCTTGAAGCAGTTGGGTGGTGCTTTCCTCCAATGTTTTTCCTATCCACCTCTAGTGATTTTTTCTAATTTCTTTCTCAACTGGAATCTGGCTTTTTTCTCTTGTACGGTAGGCTGTTGATGCATAATGTCTGATCAACAGATCCCTCGTATCATGCATAGACAACTTTTAACAAGCACATGTATCTTGTGGATAACAGTTTTCGTAGCTCTTCAACTTTTAATTATTTCTGAATATTCCTCGAAACATTTAGTATAGTGCATACGTTTTGAAAAAAAACTGCGCGTAAAACAGAACGTAAATCATATGTATCACACTCATTAATGATCTATACAGCTTACTGGCTATGATTGTTTGTTAAAAATCAATACTGCAAACGAATGGATGTAATTCTATCAGAGCTATTTGTTGGGGACGTTAGATCCCCAGAACTCACTTGCAAAAGGTCCCAATTTTGCATTTTATGTTTTCGAGCATGGGCTGAACAGTTTACCTTAAGATTGCATTTCCCACCTGTCATTGGTTGATGTGTTATTTTAGCACTCTGTTTCTGTGGCTCTGCCAAGAACGTTTCTGTAATGTGTAAATAAACTTGATTTCTGTGCTTGTCAACCTCACATTTTCTGGGTTCTTGTAGAATACACTTTCTACGCTATATCAAGCAAGATTTCTTCCTCTACTTTGTATATCGACCTGATAATCTTATATAACAACACCGTTAGATACCGGCTCCATGGTCCAGAGGTTAGGCGTTTATGTGCAAGACCGAAGGTCCTGGGTTCGAATCCTGCGAGGTGCAGGAGTCTTAGATGCACACTGCCACTGATGAGTCCCATATACGAGGACGAAACAGTCGTCCAGTGCTTCCATCTTTCTAATGCTGGTCTAATATTGATCAATTCATGATTTCAAATGTGTAACTTACTAATCTTCATTACCTCATAATTTAGTGAATAATGTCTGTTTTGATTGATTTTTCATTTCAAAAGTATGTTTTATTGTCAATAATTATTATTTGTATATTGAATTTTGGTGGGATGTTTAAATTAATCACACTGATAATAATTTGAACGATAATCACTTTTACCGGTTGTGTGAATATATGTGTGTGTGTGTGTGTGTGGATAATTATTTCACATTGTCAATTCAAATCTCATAACATCAGAGGTAGTAGAAGTAGATTAGTGGTAATGAAGAAGATTAGTCTTGGAAGGAATCATTCAAGCAGTATAATCCAGTAAGATAAATTGAAAAAGAGAAATCAAAGGGTCATTAGGAATTTAGAAGATTAGAAGTTGAAATAAGACAAATAGAATGTGTCCATTGGAACTATGTCATTATTACACATTTTATCTGACTTGATTTCGATTGATTACGACATCTAAGTGGAATCATGTTGAATGGGAGAGAGGGATGATATTTCGGCTAACAATTTCCTAACATTGAAATAATTTTGTGAAAATTTATCGTCTCCTGTTTGTTATTAACATGCTAAACAACGTTGATTAATTGAAAGATCTACTTGGAGATGTATATGCAAAGTGTACGAGCTATTGCTTCGCATGGTTTAGAACAGTACAGTCTGAGATATATCTGTGGATAGCAATAGGCCAAAAAAAGAATGAACGTTAATAAGATGTTGATTCTAGAATCGCTTACTTCCAATCGCTAATCGCTTATTGTTTTACGAAAGATAATATCGTAAACTGATCGAAATTAAGCATTAAAACACTATTTAATGTTGGCTCATTGACTCGATGGTTAAGCCATCCACTGACAAGACATGCTGTTCTGTGTCGCAGTGTGTCGCAAATGTGAAGTCATAGATCCAGACTTCTGATAAGTCTCTTATATGGGTGAAACGATTTCTCAATGCTTACAGGTTTTCGATAGACTTCTGACTATAACCAGTTCTTCATTTAGAGTTATGGAGATTAGTGTTTGTTGCACATTGAAATCATCAGTCAATCATTGTTAGGCCACCATCAGAAACCTGGAAGTACTGAATGTGACCAGTGGAGTTCAGCCCTGTCGGGTTTACGGAGTAGCTACAAAGACAAAAGATTGATCAGTGTTAGACATGAACACCGTTGGATGTTCGCCTAGTGGTCCAGAGGTTAGGTGTTCACACGCAAGACCGAAGGTCCTGTGTTCGAATCCTGCGAGTTGCGGGGGTCGTGGATGTGCACTGATGATGAGTCCCATACCAGGACGTAATGGCCGTCTTTCAGTGCTCCCAGGTTTCTAATGGTGGTCTAACAATGATTGATTGGTGATTTCAATATAACCAAGTTTATGTTTCAAAATATGAAAATTCTTTATTCTTTACAAAATCTTTCATACTAATAATAGACACATTGAATTCAAAATTTCCATAAAAAATCTAAATTTAGATGTTTTCAGTCAACTATATTTATCAAAAGAAGATATATAATCGTATGATTTCTTTATATAATGAATGTTTTATAAGTAGGGTCAAGAATTTAGTCAGCTAAAACGTAAAACTTGGAGACTGAGCACATAAGTTCAGGTTGTCATATCATATTAGCACCGAGAGATCTAACTGACAATTCAAATCGCATAATAGTAGAGGTAGTAGAGATATTAGCGGCAATCAAAAAGATTACGGATTCAAGATATAAATCAAGGAGTATAATCTAATGAAATAAACTTATCAGGAGAAAGATAAAGCTGATTAGGAACTGAAAGGATAAGAATTTAAGAGAACACGAGGGATAGATGCATTTGCAGAGTTACAAAGGGTTTTCAACCATGGTCTTAAAACTCTCTAACTTCTAAGTATGTTAAGTATAAGTATACACATTGTGTGCCTCACTATAATCATCTCAGCATTGATTTGACAAAACGTTCTCTCATGTATATCCGAATACGGCTTCTCATTGTCTGTGGATGCCAATTAATACAAATAAATATGAATTAAGGAATCCGTAAACTGATACCAACTTTAACCAGTTAAAAGTATTATATATTTCTTTAGTGAGTAGTATATTGTCACTTCAACCTAAGAAAGACAGAATTCGTAAAGCTAACAAATTATGTCAATAAAATTAGCTTTGAAATAGAAATATTTCATAGATGAAGTCTGCAACTTAGACTCTTTGTTTTTGATCTCTTTACTGTTAGACAGGAGGTCATAGATCG